ATCCCCCAAGATCAAATCGTGAAGTGAGGTGCTGTATCTGCTACTAGAATTGGAGAATAATGATCCTAAATGGTTCCCCAGTCTCACTTACGGGATCCCTGGCTACTGTGTGATGCGTGTTTTTACTTGAAAGATGGTGCAAGAGGTGTCGGAGATTATCAAATTCCTGCACAGTGAACTCTTCCCTGGTTGTCTTCTCTTTGCATTATTCCCAGCACCTTCTGAATTCCAAAGGGATTCCCCCTGCTGTTAAGCATCCTTCTGAATCATCTACACACCTTGAATTGGTAGGAGTTCAAGGAATGCAAATTCATTTTCCATTAGCTTAAACAAACACAATTAGAAAGGAAAATCCCCCGAGGCAAGGAACACCTATCAAAGCTAAATATAAATTACCTTTGACCATTGCAATCAGAGAAAGAAATGAGAAACCAATGTAATTATCTTTTTAATCTCTAGAGGAAAGTGTTTTAATGTTTTCTTTTATAGACTTCCTCAGTATTTTATAATCCTAATATTCTTTTATATCATTTTAAATCATTCTGTAATCTGAGCCCGTTCTCTTGGGTGTCAAGGAAAGGTGGGTTAACCTCAGTCAGTGTACTTTCCTCCTTCTCAATACGCAAGCATGGCAATCTGGTGCTTTCTATTTTAGTTTTTGCACATATCTTTTTTTAACATTGATTTAACCCACATACATATGATTTTCTTATAATTATATATTTTTTAAGATTTTATTCACTCATTTGAGAGGTAGAGTTACACACAGAGAGAAGGAGTGACAGAGAGAAATATCTTCCATCCACTGGTTCACTCCCCAACGGCTGGAGCTGGGTTGATCCAAAGCCAGGAACCAGGAGATTCTTCCAGGTCTCCCATGTGGGTGCAGGGACCCAACCACTTGGGCCATCTTCCACTGCCTTTCCAGGCCATAACAGAGAGCTGGCTCGGAAGAAGAAAAGCTGGGACTTGAACCAGTGTCCACCTAGGATGCTGGTGCCACTGGTGGAGGCTTAACCCACTATGCCACAGTGCTGGCCCCTACATAGGATTTTTAACATCACCATGGCATTTCATAATAACAGCTGCCATTTCTACAATAAGTCATGCAGTCAATTAAGAATTTATTTGAGTTTTCTTTTGTACTTTATAAAGAGAACAGGTTTATTTTGGCTTACCTTTCTGGAGGTTCACCAAGATGGGACGGTCCTATTGGTGAGACATCTGGTGAGTCCTTAGGTGGCAGTGCATCATGTGACAAGGGGGACTGCATGTGTGTCGATATCAATGTGGTCTCTTAGACATCATGGGGGCTCCATCCTTACAATCCAAGCCAATCAAGTCACTTCCCAAAAGCCCCACCTTCAGACAACCAGGACTAGATTCAATCCCACCCTCTTGGTACCATTAACATAAAACTTTGGGGACCGGCCGGTGCCGTGGCTCACTTGGCTAATCCTCTGCCTGAGGTGCCAGCAACCCAGGTTCTAGTTCCGGTTGGGGCACTGGGTATTAGTCCCAGTTGCTCCTCTTCCAGTCCAGCTCTCTGCTGTGGCCCGAGAGGGCAAAGGAGGATGGCCCAAGTGCTTGGGTCCCTGCACTTGGGCATGGGACCGGGAGGAAGTACCCGGCTCCTGGCTTCAGATTGGCGCAGCGTCAGCCGTAGCAGCCATTAGGGGAGTGAACCAACGGAAGGAAGACCTTTCTCTCTGTCTCTCTCTCACTGTCTATAACTCTCTCTGTCTCTCTCTCTCTCTCACTGTCTAACTCTGCCTGGCAAAAAAAAAAAAAATTCTGGGGACCAGATCTTTAACGCATGGGCCTTTAGTGGACATTCAACATCCAAGCTAATCTCCAATCCATAGTAGTACATCTGCTATGGTATGTGATCCTGACAACCTTACAATGTTTATAGAATTCTTTTTAAGAATTTTTTTATTTATTTGAAAGGGAAAGAGAGAGAGAGAGAGAGAATGTATCTTCCATCTCATGGTTTACTCCCTAAATATCAGCAATGGCTGGAGCTAGTCCAGGATGAAGCCAGGAGCCAGGAACTCCATCCTGGTCTCCCACGTGAGTGGCAGGAGGAGCCTAAGTACTCAGACTATCCTGTTCTGCTTTGTCAGGCATATTAGCAGGGACTTGGGTCCAAAGCAGAGCAGCCAGGATTTCAAGTAGCTATGGCTTTAACCCACTGTGCCCTAACCCTGGCCCACTTAATTATTCTTAATGTATAAATAGAAAATGAGGCTGAGATAGTTCTAATGAGTATTAAAAATAATAGAAAATTGGGAATGAGACACCTAATATTCTTCCAAAGCTTCCGTTACCCACTCCTAAACTCACCATTAGTTTCTTTAGCCGATCTCCTACTGTTAGGTGTTTTGAGTTATCCCTGACTTCTTACAGTGAAAATAATCATTTCATGAAAAAAACTTTTGTAACTGTTATCGTCTTGTGTCCCCTTGTAGTTTAGTCTCTACAGTCACATTGTACTGCCCAAAGTAATTTAAAAAACTAATTCCTATCTTCATTTTGTCTCTTAAAGAAAAATCACAGGAGGCCCAGTTCAAACTCATAACAGTACTCCCCAAATCCCCTTTCATTCCACAGTTCTCTCGCTGTAAGCTGCAATCATAGCAGCTGTGAACCTCATAAGTGCCAGAAGCCAAAACCTCACACCTCCCCCTTAGTTCCCTTATAGATTTGGCTTCCTGGCGTTGATCCTTCCCTTATCCCTAGCCATTCTGATCTGGTTTCTCTCCATTTGTTCTCCTAAGAATCCTTCTCAAAAGAGCTGGGAAAAAAATCTCCTTTTGTGGGAGTTAGAGCTATGGGTTGTGCGAAAACTGACAGAAGAAATCAGAGAGCACTCTTATGTGAATTGATTTTATTCCTTTGGTATTTGTAGTACAAGTTTTAATTCCTTTTTCATTTTAGTGGCTCCCTACCTTTGAATAAAAATCTCCAAGGAGAAGTTTGTGGGTCATTGAGGAGATCTCTAATAGTGGATAGCTTTAATTAAGAACAGAAGGGTGGGCCGGTGCCGTGGCTTACTAGGCTAATCCTCCGCCTGCGGCACTGGCACTCTGGGTTCTAGTGGGCTCTGGATTCTGTCCCAGTTGCTCCTCTTCCAGTCCAGCTCTCTGCTGTGGCTCAGGAAGGCAGTGGAGGATGGCCCAGGTCCTTGGGCCCTACACCCTCATGGGAGACCAGGAGGAAGCACCTGGTTCCTGGCTTCGAATCGGCGCAGCGCGCCGGCTGTAGCGGCCATCTGGGGGGTGAACCGACAGAAGAAAGACCTTTCTCTGTCTCTCTCTCACTGTCTAACTCTGCCTGTCAAAAAAATAAAAATAAAAAGCATTAAAAAAATTAAGAAGAGAAGGGTGTTTAGCACAGTGTTTAAGATGCTCATGTCCCATATCAGACAGCCTGGATCCAGTCCTGCCTCTCCAGCTTCCTGCTCATGTGCACTCTGTGAGGCAGCAGATGATGGTCCAAGTACTTACATCCCTGTCATATGCATGGGAGACCAGGGTGAAGTTCCTGGCTCCTGGCTTGGCCTAGTCTAGGCATGGCTATCTTGGGCATTGGGGTATGAACCAGCAAGTGGATGATCTCTCCATGTCTGTCTCTCTTTCAAATAAATTTTAAAGAAAAAAAAATTTTTTTGACAGGCAGAGTAGACAGTGAGAGAGAGAGACAGAGAGAAAGGTCTTCCTTTTTCTGTTGGTTCACCCCCCAATGGCTGCTGTGGCCGGCATGCTGTGGCTGGCACACTGCGCTGATCCGAAGCCAGGAGCCAGGTGCTTCCTCCTGGTCTCCCCTGCAGGTGCAGGGCCCAAGCACTTGGGCCATCCTCCACTGCCTTCCTGGGCCACAGCAGAGAGCTGGCCTGGAAGAGGGGCAACTGGGACAGAATCCGGCGCCCCAGCCGTGACTAGAAGCCGGTGTGCCGGCGCTGCAGGCAGAGGATTAGCCTATTGAGCCGCGGCGCCAGCTAAAGAAAAAATTTTAAATGCATTTTGTGACCATAACAAAGTTTATCTGTCATCAGATTTGAAAAGTTTAATTTCTTACTTTATATGCCTTTCACATAGTCAGTGTATTTGATGATTACAACTAGAAGTCATTCTAAAATCCTGATTAATTTATAATAACTATCCTAAATATCTATATGTGACATGTGATACTCACAAATAAAAATACAACTAGCCTAGATTTTCCTGTTTTCTCTTCCCTAATGGGTTAGGGAAGGAATGAGAGATGCAGATTTCTGGTGAAGTGGCTCACTCAGCTGATGGGAACTGTTTCCTTAAAAGCCTTTCTTTCAATTGGGCTGGTCAGTCATTCCTTGATGTCGAGTAACCTCTGGGGGAAAACTGTGCAGTAGCAAAGCTGTTGTTGGATGTGCCCTGGATTCTTTTGGCATTTACTCCCCCTCTGGCACTCTCTGTTCCAAGCCCTCCTCAATCCACACTTCCTTGCCTGTCATATCAGTCATTACCCATTTCTGCAAATATTTAACCCATTTTCTTTCCCCTTCTTAGGGATAGTTGCACATTGTGCCTTATCTCTAATTATCAATGCAAGAGTTCATTTCTAGTGTTGAGTTTTAAGCACTAATGAGCTAATGTAGAAACTATTCTGAGAGGAGCTGCCCAAGTGCCTTCTCTTAAAGCTATTTTACAAGTACATATTTTCTCGGTTTGTGCATATGGCCAGCTCCCAACTTACCAGTCTTATGTAACTGCAAGTTCTTATGTCAAGTGCATCTCCAAGTACACACCCAGGTTCTGCAGATGCTCCAACATGTAAGTATGAGAGAGGTCAGGTAGGTGGCAAAACCCAGAATTTATTAGTCAAGGAAAGAAATACATAATACGCGTTAGAAACAAATGACAAACTTGCTTTTGATGCCCTTCCTATCATTTCCTCATAACAAGTCTCTGCTGTGCGACTGCACTTGGAGCTTTTTGTGTTTTGTTTCGTTTCTCCAGTTTGACAAATGGACAGACTCTCAAAGGAGAAGAGTCCTCACAGGCCTGTTGGAGCGTTGCTCCCTGTCACAGCAAAAGTTCTGCTGTCGAAAGCTTCAGGAAAAAATTCCAGCAGAAGCTCTGGATTTTACCACCGAGCTTCCAAGGGTGTTGTCTTTATACATCTTTTCTTTCCTGGATCCCCGCAGCCTTTGTCGTTGTGCACAGGTAAAGTCAAACGAGTGGCCTGCGACATGTTCTAGGAGCAGCTTTAAGAAACTCTGAAATGTGAATTAAGGTGGAGGGGGGGGGAGGACAGAAAAGCCACACATGTGAGGGGGCTTCAAACTATTCATGGAGGGTGCCATTAAAAGATAGGTTTAGGAGCAGGTGTTCTGGCACAATGGGTTAAGTCACCACTTAAAATAGGAAGAAGCAGATGATGGCTCAAGTACTTGGTTCGCTGCCGCCTAGGTGTGAAACCCAGATAGAGTTCCTGGCTCCTGGCTTTGGTCTGACTAAGCAGCTACTGTTGCAGACATTTGGAGACTGAACCAGCAGATGGAAAATTCTCTGCCTCTCTCTCTGTCTCTCTGTCTCTCTCTCTCTGCCTCTCTCCCTCCCTTCCTCCCTCCCTCCCTTGCAAATAACATCTCAATCTGAGTCATGAAAGATGGCATTTCACAATGAACTAAGTATCCTACATGTTTTAGAGACATCTGCATTTCTCCTTCTGTGAACTACTGTTCATTTCCTTTTCCTCTTTTTTAAAACCAGGTTTTTGGAGGTTATTTTTTAACGAGAATCTTCTATATCAGAGAAAGCATGGGGAAACAAGAATTTATCCACTATTGCTGGATCAATTGGTACAACAGCCATGGAGAGTGATTTAGTAGCATTCAAATTTTAGATAAAAATTCCCTTTGACACAGTAGCTTCACTTTTTGGTTTGTTTGATGTCCAAGTAAGAATACTGCAGCATTGTTTGTAATAGCAAAAGGTTGAAGTAACAAGAATGTCCACCAGGAGGGGATTGAGTAAAGAAATTTTAAAAATCTGTAAGTTGTGTTATCAGAGAAAAAAGCAAATGGTGCTGGGCATTTGGCACAGCGATTAAGACATGACTTGGGCTTTTCTGCACCACCCGGCGAGGGGTCCATACAGCGTAACTTAAGGGGAAGTCATCACAATTCTGGAGCCCTTGATGTCCTGCAAGTGAAGGAGGAGGATGTCCTCAAATTCCTTGCAGCAGGAACCCACCTAGGTGGCACCAACCTTGACTTCCAGATGGAAGAGCACGTCTACATCATAAATCTGAAGAGGACCTGGGAGGAACTTCTGGTGGCAGCTCATGCCTTTGTAGCCATTGAAAACGCTGCTGATGTCAGTGTGAAATCCCCCAGAAACACTGGCCGGAGAGCTGTGCTGAAGTTTGCTGCTACCCCCGGAGCTACTCCTATTGCTGGCCCTTTCACACCCAGAACCTTCACACTAACCAGATCCAGGGAGCCTTCTGGCAACCATGGCTTCTGTGGTTACTGATCCTAGGGCTGACCATCAGCCTCTCACAGAGGCCCCCCCCCCCTTTTTTTTTAAAGATTTTATTTATTTGAGAGGTAGAGTTACAGACATTGAGAGGGAGAGACTCCAGGTTTCCCATGCCAGTGCAGGGGCCCAAGGACTTGGGCCATCTTCTACTGCTTTCCCAGGTCATAGCCAAGAGCTGGGTCAGAAGAGGAGCAGCTGGGACTCGAACCAGCGCCCATATGGGATGCCGGCACCACAGGCAGAGGATTAACCTGTTGTGCCACAGTGCTGGCCCCACAGAGGCATCTTATGTGAACTTGCCTACCATTGCTCTGTGTGACACAGACTCTCCTCTGCACTATGTGGACATTGCCATCCCACGCAACAAGGGAACCTATTCAGTGGGTCTGATGTGGTGGATGCTGCAGCACCAGCAGTGGGCGCTGCAGGACCCAGGAGGTTCTGTGCATGTGTGGTACCACGTCCCGTGAACACCCTTAGGAGGTCATGCCTGATCTCTACTTCTATAGAGATCCTGAAAAGATTGAAAAAGAAGAGCAGGCTGCCGCTGAAAAAGCTGTGACCAAGGAAGAGTTTCAGGGTGAATGGAGACGCCCCGCACCTGAGTTCACTGCTGCTCAGCCTGAGGTTGCAGACTGGTCTGAAGGCGTGCAGGTGCCCTCCCGGCCTGTTCAGCAGTTCCCCACTGAAGACAGGATTGTTCAGCCCGCCACTGAAGACTGAGCTGAAGTGCCCACTGCTTAGGCCACCGAGTGGGTAGGAACAACCACTGAGTGGTCTTAAGCTACTTTTCATGGTCTCTGAAGCAAATGTGGGAATGAGGTTGAATGGAAAATAAACACCAGTGTATACAAAAAAAAAAAAAAAAAAACCAACTATTTGGGATTCCCATATCTGATATTGGAGTGCCAGGATTTGAGTTCCAACGTCACTTCTTGTCCAGCTTCCTGCTAATGTATACTCTTGGGAGCAGCAGTAGTGGATGAAGCACTTGGGGCCCTGCCACCCACATGGGAGACCCTGAAGTTGGTTCCAGGCTTCTGACTTCAGTCTAGCGCAGCCCTGGCTATTGGGCACATTTAGGGAATGAACCAGCAGAAGGAAGATCTGTGTCTGTCTCTGCTCTGTCTACCTTTCAAATAAACAACAAAAAGCAAATATGCAGAACTGGCCTACCATTTTGGAAAGAAAAATAATACATTCATATTTGTTAATATATGTCTCAAATATTTCTGGAATAACATAGAAGAAATTGGTGGCAGGGGTTACTTCCAGGCTGTGGGATAGGGATGGGTGAGAAACTCACTTTTTTACTGTGTGTGTCCCTTTGTAGCCTTGAATTTAGTGTTAGTGTACATGTATGACCTATTTCAAAAATGAAATAATTTTTCAAACAGTAATCTAAATGTTAAGTTATAGTATCCTATAGCCATATGATAAATTATTAAGCAGCAGTTAGAAAGAACAGAGAAAGTTTACCAGTTTTGCTTCTTAACATGCCTTGAAAAAAACTGAAAGAAAAGGAACCATTGTGTCCCTAGTAATGTCCTCTTTGATGGATGTGGTTTTACATATTGTTTTTCGTTAAACTGCTCAGGATTCCCCAAGTTTTTTGCAATGAGAATGTTAGCATTAGAGAGAAATTTGAAGTAGCTAATTGTATCAGCTGGATGCAACTAGATGTCAATCTTGCAAGAACTCAGCTTGTTTTATTCCCACCATTCTCTATGGGGAAAGACACAGGCCATTGGTCTTCAGCTAGATTTAAAATAAACAATAAAGTCATTACACCACAACAGCTCTGAGCTGTTTGTAAAATATGGGGGTAGGGGATATTAGGGAGATGTGTCATAGTTTTGAAAGCTCCTGCTTACCTGTCTAGTCTTTTCTCTCTTTAGTGCGTGCCTGCACACACACAGACAAAAACCCTAACCAAAACCTTATCTGCCTTTGAGAAAAAACCAACTTAAGTACCTAGGTCAAAACAAGATCTAAGGAAAAGGAGGACAGGAGTGAGAACTGTGAGACATTTCTCCCAAACTCCATCCCTCTGTTGAACTGAGTTAATTTGCCACTTGGAGATAAAGGCGAGTGTTTCATTTCTGGGTTGAACAAGAAGTAGATGTGATTTCTGTTCCTGCCTGTAGGGCTCTGTCAGATCCTCTAACCTTTTTTCTCCTTCCAGCTCCTGAACCTTTTATTTCTTCTAATTGTGCCCTATTCCTTCCTTGATGTCTCATCCTTGGCACATAAAACAATTCCAAACTTAGGAGAAGCTCAGACAGCGAGAGGGAGGGAGACAGAGAGGGATGGATAAAAGGATATTTGTGTGCATAGCAAGAGCCATTATAAGGTGGCCTGATTTTGCTGCTTTCTTTTGTTAATTTATTTAATTAACCTTGAAATTGGATTTGAAGGTTAGATATCACCTTTGCCACTCTTATGACTAAGACAGAGAATTCCTATTCTCAACTTTATATACAGACTTGACTTTAGTTTCCAGTGAGACTTACTCAAAATCTAGGGTAACTTGTTGGAACTACTGCTACTAGGGCTACCTCCACTGTTTGTTGGATGTTTGGGGTTGGCCATAATGCAATGGAAATGGAAGGTACAGAACAAATTCTTTATGCTCTGAGGAATCCTAAAAGCTATATAAGACACACTATATAGTATCAGTAATTAGGTCCTATTTAATTAAAAATTTTATTTAATGAAATTGTAGGACTGGAGGAAGAGAGAAGCATACCACAAAAATAATTTTTAAAAGTATAGGTCTGAGTTTACATCACCTTCATATAACTTTCAAAGGACATTCAGAAATGTTGAGAAAATTCCAAAGTCTATCTGAGCCTCCATCTTCTCATTTGCAAATGATTCTCATTTGTGATAATTATATGTACCTCTCAAGGTTGCTATGAGGATGGTGAATAGGTTCTCTATTTCTAATTCTGAATTAGCAATAAAATAAATTCTTCTGCCTAGATACAAAGCACTTCAGGTAAGAGGTAACTGTTTAAGCTGTGATCTGGAGGAAGATGACAAAAGATAAATTAGATCTAGGGTGACAGCTCAAAAACCTAGAGAAAGGGGCATGTGAGCTGAGTAGGTTTTGTTTTTGCCTTGTTTTTCCAGGTGAGCTGGCACTGGAAGAACTTGGCTGAGCTGGACCAGCTCTGGATGCTCAAATGTTTGCGGTTTAACTGGTACATCAATTTCTCTCCGACCCCCTTTGAGCAGGGCATATGGAAGAAACACTACATTCAAATGGTGAAAGAACTTCATATTACCAAGCCTAAGGTACGTTTGAGACAAAAATCAGCAAACATATGAACATCGGCTATTTATGAATTCTAGAACTAAGAATAAGTGATCCAATTTGAAGTGAGGGAAGTGAGGTAGTTCAAAGGCAATTCACGATGATTTCAAAATTCTCCTGAGAGATGATAGCCCTTTTCATGTATCAGTGTGAGTTAAGAGCCCTCATCCAACACTCCCAACCCAGAGTGTCCCTCTCTGATTTCTGCATCTCAGACTCACACCAGAGAGTTATGATGGGGGAACCCTGTGGGTAACACACGGTATTCATTACTTGTGAGTCTTCAAATTTTACTTTACTAATTTAAATGTTCTGTGATTCTACCAGATAAACTGAAGTTTATTTTTATATCACACATTAAGGAAAAGTTTTCCAACAAATCACTCATTAGGAAAGAGGCTGATGGGAATTGTAATATTCTTTTTAAGCTAGAAACTAATCAGTGTAAGGGGCCAGCACTGTGACATAGTAGGTAAAGCTACTGCCGGCAGCACCAGCATTCCATGTTTCCATGTGGGCAATGATTCACGTTATGACTGCTCCATTTCAAATCTGCTCCCTGCTAATGTGCCTAGGAAGGCAGTAGAAGATGGTTCACTTGGGCCCCTGCACCATGTGAGAGACCCAGAAGAAGTTCCTGGCTCCTGGCTTCGGCCTGACTTAGCCTAGGTCATTGCTGCCATTTGGGAAGTGAATCAGCGGATGAAAGAGCTCCCTCTTCCTCCCTCCCTCTCCCTCTCCCTCTCCCTCTCCCTCTCCCTCTCCCTCTCCCTCTCCCTCTCCCTCTCTGTAACTCAGTATTTCAGATAAATAAATCTGAAAAGAAAAAGAAAAGTGTAGCAACAGAGACAGAGAGGGGAGAGAGAGAGAGAGAGAGAGAGATCTTTCATCCATTAGTTCACTCTCCAGATGGCCATAGCAGGCAGGTCTGGCCAGGCTGAAACCAGGAACTCCATCCTGGCCTCCAATATGGGTAGCTGCGTCCAAGCACTTGGGCCATCTCCTTCTGGCTTTCAGGAGTATTAGCAAGAAACTGGATCAGAAGCAGAGTAGCAGAGACTTGAACTAGTGCTCTGATATGATATGCCAATATCATAAGCAGCAACTTAACTCCCTGCACCACAATGCCAGCCTCACTATATTCATTCTTTTATTTTTTTTTTTAAGATTTGTTTATTTGAAAGGCAGATTTACATAGACAAAGACAGAAAGAGAGATCTTTCATCCACTTGTTCACTCCCCAAATGGTCACAACCACCAGGGCTGAACCAGGCTGAAGCCAGGAGCCATGAACTTCATCCAGGTCTCCCACATGGGTGGGAGGGGCCCAAGCACTTGGGCCATCTTCTGCTATCTTTCCCAGGCCATCAACAGGTAGCTGGATCAGAAATGGCACAGCCGGAATGGGAACCAGCTCCCATACCGGATGCCGGTGTGATAGGCGGTAGCTTTACCTGCAATGCTACAATACCAGGCCTTTCAACTATATTCATTCTTGTAGTCACAGTTAACTAGATAATTTATGAGAAATTTTTATGAGCCCTTTGTTCATGGCATGATCTTCTATACATATGAAGAGTTGTACAACATTTTGTATAATAGATGAGTTCCTGAAAAATTATGTTCAAATTAAATTTTTTTGAAAACTTCTATTTAATAAATATAAATTTCCAAAGTACAACTTTTGGATTATAGAGGTTTCCCTCCCATAACCACCCCCCACCAGCAAACCATCCCATCTCCCACTCCCTCTCCCATCCCATTCTTCATTAAAATTCAGTTTTAATTATCTTTACATACAGAAGATCAACTTGTATATACTAAGTGAAGATTTTAACAGTTTGGACCACACAAACACACAGAGTATAAAGTACTGTTTGAAAACTAGTTTTACTGTTAATTCTCATAGTACAACACATTAGGACAGAGATCCTACATGGGGAGTAAGTGCACAGTGACTCCTGTTGTTGATTTAACAAATGACACTCTTATTTATGACATCAGTAATCACCCAAGGCTCTTGTCATGAGCTGCTAAGGCTATGGAAGCCTCTTGAGTTCACAAACTCCGACCTTATTTAGACAAGGCCATAGTCAAAGTGGAAGTTCTCTCCTCCCTTCAGAGAAAGGTACCTCCTTCTTTGATGGCCTGTTCTTTTCGCTGGGATCTCACTCACAGAGATCTTTCATTTAGGTCATTTTTGTGCAAATTAAATTTTTAAAATGATTTTTAACACCACAGGGTAGGCTGGCACCTTGGCTCACTAGGCTAATCCTCCACCTGCGGCGCCAGTACTCCGGGTTCTAGTCCCTGTTGGGGCGCCAGTTCTGTCCCGGTTGCTCCTCTTCCAGTCCAGCTCTCTACTGTGGCCCAGGAAGGCAGTGGAGGATGGCCCAAGTGCTTGGGCCCTGCACCCACATGGGAGACCAGGAGGAAGCACCTGGCTCCTGGCTTCGGACTGACGCTGCGCACCGGCTGTAACGGCCATTTGGGGGGTGAACCAACAGAAGGAAGACCTTTCTCTCTGTCTCTCTCGCACTGCCTAACTCTGCCTGTCAAAAAAACAAAAACAAAAACAAGAAACAAAACAAAACAAAAAAAAAACGCAGGGTAATTACTTTCTGAAAAAAACTGCAGTGAATCCTGCTGAAAGTGAAGAATCTTTTTGAAACATTAATAGTGAACCCTGTCTTGCTCATTCAGGTTTAGATTTTATTGTGTTTTCTTAAAGTTGTAAAACCAAGATTCCTGAGACCTAGGGATCTCTGAAATAAAAGGGTCTATTGAGCCCTTCCAGACGCTAGCCAGAAAGAAGACTGGACCCTGGGACAAGTTTCTGCAGCTTCCAGCAGCAAGGCTGGAGAGCAGTTGGAAAAATATCCACTTAACTCAGAGCTTAGAGCATCGTTTTTTTCATTTGAATACAATCACCCCCTTCTGGAAAGGGTGTTTTGGCACAGTGGGTAAGAGGCCTGCATCCAAGAAAGAAAGAAAGAAAGAAAGAGAGAGAGAGAGAGAGAGAGAGAGAAAGAAAGAAAGAAAGAAAGAAAGAAAGAAAGAAAGAAAGAAAGAAAGAAAGAAAGAAGATGCCTGCGCCCCTTATTGGGTGCCTGGGTTTGAGTCCTGATTCCATGTTTTATCCCAGCTTCCTGTTAATGTGCATCTTGGGAGGCAGCAATAATGGCTCAAGTAACTGGGTCCCTGCCACCCATGTGGGAGACCTGGATTGAGTTTTGGGCTCCTGCCTCTGCCTGACCCAGCTCAGCTGTTGTGGCCAGTAGGTAGATGATCTTTGTCTATCTCTACTTCTCTGTCTCTCTTCTTTCTCTTCTCTCTCTGTCTCTGCCATTCAAATAAAAATAAAAATAAAATAAATACTTTTCTTTTAAAGAGAATCACTCCCTCCAAAAAACATGCTCTTGTGAGACTGCCTGGCGCAGGAGGGCCAAGCAGCTAGGCCGAACAGGAGGCTGCACTGCAGAAGTGGACTCTTTAGACATAAAGATAAAATGATAATAAGTTACTTTCAGGAATGTGAAATGGTCTTTTGGTATTTTCCTGACAGTAACTGCTAACTGATTAACCTCTTTCATTTCCTCCCCTCCCATTCTGGGTCTTGTCATTAAATTTATGACATGTTGGAATTTTTTTCTTATCAAAATAGACTCCACCTACATTTAATATAGTAATAAAATGTGCATAATTAATACTGATACACTTGCAATTCTAAAACCAGTCTTTCTGATTTCAGTAGTTGGCACATTCCATGAGGATTTATTTAAAAACAAAGTTTTAAACTTTTGATGGAAACATTATTTTAATAATTATCATAGCAATGACTCCTTACCTCACAAGATTTTTTGAATCTTAACCTAAGTTGAGGAGTAAGCAGTGACATTCAGTAGCCGAAGCTCAGGTTATTGTGGGGGCAGAGAGAAAGTTGATAAACCCAGTAGTAGAGTAAAAGGAGGTCTTGAGTGTTACGTAGAAAATTGTGACATTAATGCTTTCTCTTTCACAGCGACTCTTTTCCACAAAATATTTATGCCTAACTCTGTGTTGCAATGATCAATCGTTTCATTACAGAAAAATGCCACCTCTTTGTTTGATATTAAATTTCTGTAGGAATACTTCACCATATAAACTTAAATTTTTTTCTGTTAAAGAAGCAGACCTAAGTCAGAAAGACTAGATTTAATAGGCATTTGACTGGGCTGGCGCCGCGGCTCAACAGGCTAATCCTCCGCCTTGCAGCGCCGGCACACCAGGTTCTAGTCCCGGTCGGGGCGCCAGATTCTGTCCCGGTTGCCCCTCTTCCAGGCCAGCTCTCTGCTGTGGCCCGGGAGTGCAGTGGAGGATGGCCCAAGTGCTTGGGCCCTGCACCCCATGGGAGACCAGGATAAGTACCTGGCTCCTGCCATCAGATCAGCGTGGTGCACCGGCCGCAGCATGCCGGCCGCAGCAGCCATTGGAGGGTGAACCAACGGCAAAGGAAGACCTTTCTCTCTGTCTCTCTCTCTCACTGTCCACTTTGCCTATTTGACTAAGGCTGATAAAGTCAATTGTCAGCACTATACATACTTGTGTAAGATGTGCAATTCCCTGAGATGACTCCAGTGATGTGAACACAGGCGACCACGCAAGTACAGCAGAATTTACCCCCCTTCAAGCAACATCACAAACCCCCTCTCCCTGTGCTTCAGCATAGCTTAAAAGATGTTATGAGCCGATGGGAATAGTTAATCCAAGTTTCCCAGCCTTAAAATTAGAGAATTGGACTAGGAGGATCTGTATGTGAGTCTGCACTACCCATACCACAAACCATGCTCTCAGAAAGGCAGTGGAGCCGGCGCCGTGGCTCAATAGGCTAATCCTCCACCTTGCGGCGCCGGCACACTGGGTTCTAGTCCCGGTCGGGGCGCCGGATTCTGTCCCGGTTGCCCCTCTTCCAGGCCAGCTCTCTGCTGTGGCCAGGGAGTGC